ATGTCCGGGGCGCGCACACGAAGAAGAACGGCTGGAATCCATGCCATAGCGGCTGCAAAAGGTCTCGAAATCAGCTCACATGCTCTCTGAGGCGCTCGGAGAGCGTCGGAGCTGTTTCGCCGGGCTAATTTTGTCAAATCTGAGCACCAGTCGCTCCCAGCCCTCGGCAGCGAGGAGGGCGCCCCATGGGGCCACCAGGGCGCTGTTAGGTAGCCACAAGGGAGCCCTCTCGCGTCCGGGCTCGCGCGGGGCGTGGGTGTTCGGTAGTCGATGGCTGGGAGCGCGGCGGCGATGGGTCGATTTCTGGACGTGGTGGGCTCGAAAAAGGCCGGTTTGGGGGCGAGGAGTCGAACGCAGGGCGCCCACGACGCTGCACTCGACGGGCATCGCGTTCGGAGCTCGACGCGCGGTCGTAGTCGTCGCGACGCGCGCGCGAATGCTGAGCCTGGCACCAGGGCGATATCGGCGCTTTTGGGCCCATGCCGTCGAGGCCATGAAGGCGTCGCAGTAACGTGTCTGACACCTTGGCCGAGTCGTAGGGGTCCGCGCGCCAGCCGCTGTAGCTCGTACAGCCTCGGAGAAGCCTCTCTCGACGTACACAAGCGCGTCTCGATACAGCGTTCGCGCCAGCGCGCCGAGGTCGCGAGCGCGTGCGAAAACCGGTTCCCGGGTCCGTCCAACGGTCCACGCAGTTCCGTCCACACATAAACCAAGCAGCGATGACCAAGGGACGGGCAAGGTAGCCTCTGGTCGCGCTGTGACCCCGTGGACCATCGCCATCGACCGCCGTCGCAGCCTGTGCCAGCCGATTTTCGCGCGCGCGCGGCGGCGCGCGTCAAACCAAGTCGATGGACCATCGCGTAGGGTGTGTGTGACGAACAGCATGGCTTTGAAGCGACCAAATCGGTGCGGAAGTCGCTGAGTTCTGGTGCGCCCATCGGCCGATGTCTAGTGGCAGTGGCGAGGCGCAAGTGCACTGCCTGTGGAGAATTGTACTGAATCGGCGAGCCTCTCGCCGCGCGACGTCTCGGTCGCCGCGGCGCCGGGCACCGCCGTCGTCGAAAAGGACTTTCGACTCGCGGGCATCTTCCTCGGCGCGGGCCTGCTCCAAAGCGAAGAGATGGCGCGGCGGCGACTCGTCGCGGCCACGTGTGTCCTCCTCCTCCGCTCTTCCGCTTCGCTCCGCGTCGCGCTCTGCGTGACGGGCCAGTTGCGGACCTTCGACCGCGAGGCCGTGCGGGAATCGCAGGCGAACCGCCTCGTCGGCGACCTCCGGCGCCAGGCGTCGTCGCTCGATAGCTTCCTCGTCGTGAGCGAGGCCCTCTCGACGACGACGACGGGCTGGCTTCAAACGCTCTACGCGCCCGTCTCCATCGACGTCGTCGACGTGCGCAACCACAACTTCCAGTACTCGATGCACGCGACGTGCGGCGAGCGGATGCGCGAGCGCGAGCGAGCGACGGGCGAGGCCTACGCGTGGGCGATCAAGTCGCGGTTCGACCTCTTCTTCTACGGACCGTCGCCGGCGCTCGCGTCGCTGTCGGCGGCGGCCGTCCACTCGAGGATGCGACGATGGCCCTACGGCAACGAGACGTTCGACGTCGACGCGTTGTCGGGAGAGATCCAGTCCTGGGAGCACGGGGCCAAGGAGTCTCCCGGTTGCTCCCCCGACGGGGGCGAGATTCGCGTCGACGACCAGGTGGCGTTCGTCCCGGCCGCCTTCATCGGCGCCTACTTCGACGACGTGACGTCGCTGTGTTATCAGCATCTCGACGCTCGAAGCTCGCCCTCGCGGCAGGTCCCCGATCACCGGAGATGCCCGTGCTGCAAATTGACCCAGTCGCTCCTGGCTCGCGACGCGTTCCTCGCGCCTCTCGTGCTCCATTTCACCATCGTCCGCGCGGAGCGAAAGTACAACGCGCACGAGGGCCGCGGACGCCTCGAAGGCGCCTGGACGGACGTCCCGCTCGACGCGGACGGCGCCAGGGAGGACCCAGCAGCGGGGCGACGTCGCGGATGCAGCCCAAAACATCGCGTGCGGTCGCGCCGCGGACTTCCCCGGCAGCGTCGCTTCGACCCGGCCACCGACGGAGCCTCGATGCGCCGATTCCGCGTCGACCCCGAACCCGACCTCGCCGGGGACGTCTCGCTCGAAGGGCGCATGATCGCGTTCAATTTTCCCACGTTCCGCGGCGACGAAATCGCAAGCTTCGCCTGGTCCGAACCGCAGCGCGCCGTCGGCGCGTCCCGGCGCGGACCCGACGGCCACGTCAGGGTCCTGGCCAGCGGCTTTCCGAGACCCAAGTCGCAGTGCGACGTCGATCTCAGCGTGGCGACGTACGGCGTCGGCTGGATTCTGCTCTCGGCGGCGCGTGGCTAATCCGCCCAAGCTAGACACATGCCTCGTTGGCGCCTGTCGCAGTCGTGAGCCCGCAGATTCGCGCTCGGGATCGGTCTGGCCTTCGCCTTTGAGCGGTCACAGCGCCCCAGCGCGCCGCGGCCGGCCACGGCATCGAGGCCTGCATCGTCAGCATGTGTTCAGCGAGCAGCCGAGGCTGCCGCATTTGAGCCTCGGGTGGCGCCTTCGCCTCGAGCTCCGGCACCGCAGGCACCGCAGCGCGCCGCGCACACACCGCCCAACGCCCATGGTGCAGCACGTCGGCACGGGCGTCGTGCACCGCGAGGTGCTGTCCGGCGGCGAGGGGAGCGTGCTCGGCCGCTACCCCGTGGGCGGCTGGGCCGAGGTGCCGCGGCCCCTGTCGTCGAAGGCGTCGGGCCCCGTCGTCGCCTGGTGCGTCGGCGGCGGCGGGTCCCACGTCGCCTGCGGCTTCGGCGACGGCACCGTCGAGGTCTGGGACTGGACGACGCTGCTCGCGCTCTGCGGGTCGCTCGCGCCGTCGCCCGCGGCGCGCAAGGCCGACCGCCGCGACAGCGGCGGAGCGGACGGCGCGCGCGCGTCCGACGACGACGACGACGACGCGAGCGACGACGAGGGCGCCGAGTCCGACCTGGCCGTGGCGCGCGTCGCCTGGGGCGCGCGCGCGCGGACGCTCGCGGTCTGCTACGCCGCCAAGAGCGACGACGCGTCGTCCGTCGTCGTCGCGGCCTGGGACGTCGAGGACGGCTGCGCGGGCGCGCGCGCGCCGCGCGTGGCGAAGCGCTTCGACGACTTCGACGACGCCGCGGACCTCGCGTGCGCGGAGAGCCTCGACGCGTTCGCGTTCGTGCTCGCGACGCCCGACGGCACGGGCGCGGTCTTCGTCGCCGACGGCTGCTCCGGCGCCGCGCCGGCCTTCGAGCGCCTCGACGACGACGGCGAGGACGACGACGCGTCCTGGGCCCTGGCCTTCGCGGGCGAGGCGCTGCTGGCCGTGTCGCCCGCGTTCCGCTGCACCGTCTTCCGCCGGGACCGCGGCGCGTGGACCGCGGCGGCGCAGCTCGACTGGAGCGCGGCCGCCGCGGGCGCGCCGCGGGGGTTCCGGCCCGAGCCGCGGCTCGCCGCGGCCGGGGGAGTCGTCGCCCTCGCGGGCGCCAAGTCCGTCGACGTCTTCCGCGCCGCGGACTTCCGCGACCCGTCGACGCCGCCCGCGGCCGCGGCGTCGCTCGGCGCCGCGTGCCTCGCGCGGGTCCGCGGCGACGCCGTCGGCGCCGCGGCCCTGGTCTGGGACCGCGTCCACGTCGGCGCCGCCGCCGACGGCGGCGGCGTCGTGGCGCTCGCGACGCTCGCGGAGCCGCCCTACGCGGGCCCGCGGGCGCGCGAGCCGTACGCGGGCGAGTCGCGCGTCTTCGCGTGGTCCCTCTCCGACGACGCGGTCCCTTCCGACGTCGAGCCGGAGATCCTCCCGTCGGCGCTGCCGCGCTTCCAGGCGCCGAAGCCGTCGAGCAAGAAGACGGGCGCGGGCGCCGTCGCGGGCGCGCCGCCGCCGCGCCTCGAAGCCGTCGCGACGCGCGTCCACGGGCCCCCGCGGAGCCGGCGCCTCGAGGCCCTCTGCCTCGACTCCTCCGGCGCGCTCCGGGAGGCCGGCGCGACCTTCGCGACGGTCTGGGCCGGCGCGCACTTCCCCGTTGGCTACGAGCTCCTGCTCGACAACGTCCACTACGCGGAGTGCGAGGACGAGCTCGACTTCTGCGGCGGCGTCGAGCAGCTCCCGACCTACGAGACGGACCTGCGCACCGTCGACGGCTTCTTCGCCGTGTCCATGGACGACGAGGAGCTGAGCGACGAGGTCCTCGACGTCGTCGGGTCGAGCCGCGCAGAGCCGCCGCCGCGGCCCTACGCGAGCCCGCTGACCGCGTCGGGGCGCGTCGCGCGCGGCCACGACGACGAGCTCGCCGGCGCGAGCGTCGGCGCCGTCGGCGACCCCACGGTCGCCAAGTTCCGCGCGCTGCTGCTCTAACGCTATTACGGCGGGAAGTCGTCGCGGCGCAGCGCGCGGAAGGCGCCCCGGGTTTCGCCGTCGTCGTCGAAAACCCCGAGCTCCGCGCGGTCGCCGCCGCCCGGGTGGACGACGAGCTTGAGCGCGAGCGAGAAGCGCGCGCGCTTCCCCGCGGCCGCGGCCGGCGCCGTGACGCTGTGGCCGAGGTCCGCGTCGAAGAGGACGACGCGGCCCGGCGCGGGCGATACCTCGAGCACGCGCGGCCCCGCCGGGTCGAGGAACCGCGTCGGCGCGGCCCACGCGTCCCGCCACTCGCGGCCGACGTAGACGAGCGCGGTGACCCAGCGCGGCGCGCCCGGCGCGCGGTTCGGATAATCACCAAAAGCGTCGCGCCAGGGCGACGGCGGCGGCGCGGACGGGTCGCCGTCGACGTGCCACGCGTAGGCGACGCCGTCGCCGTGGACCGGCGCGTTGCCGACCAAGGTCGGCACGTCCGCGCCGCCGAGCGCCTGGAACGGCACGCGGCTGAGCACGAGCCGCTCGTCGCCGCCGTTGGCGTGCACGAGCCACGCGCGCAGGCGCGACTCGAGCTCGACGACGGCGCCGGCGTCGCGTAGCCCCGCGAGCACGCGCGGCCTCAGGCCCAGCGACGGCGCGCCCTCCACAGCACCGCTCCCGACGTCGTCGTCGTGGTCCAGCAGGCCCGTCGTCCACGCCTCCGGCGACGGGCCGGCCTCGAAGCGCGCGTCGTCCTCGCCCATGGCCGCGAGGAGCGCGCGCCGCAGCGGCTCGTCGACGAGGCCGTCGATGGCCGCGACGGACGCGACGCCACCGGCGCCGCCGTCGTCGCCGGCGACGGCGAAGCCCGTGCACGACGCGCTACTCGGGCGCCACGACGTCGCGCGCGTCGCCACGGGCACGCGCAGGCCGAAGTGCTCGATGAGCTCGGGCGCCGACGGCTGCGTCGCCGCGGCGAGGGCGACGCGCAGCAGCGCGGTCGCGGCGACCACGACGCGGGCCATTCGCAAGCGCTAGGATGTACTGGCCTTGATCAAGCAAGCGCTACGAGAGGCTAAAAGAGCACTGGCCTTGACAAGCTCTTTGTCGACAGGCGCGCGACGCAACCTCTCACTTTGCAAGGGCTGACGCGACCATCTTAAGAGCGTGCTCATGGTCAACAGACTTCAGATCTTCAAGTATACAAGTTGAGCTTTAACTTTTATGTTAAAAATAAAAACGCCGCCGCGATCGGGATCGCCGGGATCGCGTCCGAGCGCGTAGGAGCGCTCGGGATCGCGTAAGATCGCTCGAGATCGCTCGGGATCGCTCGGGATCGCGCCGGATCGCCGCCGGGATCCCGGTGGCGCCGGCCCTATGTTAGGGCGCGGCGTTCGCCCAGAGCGACTGCCAGGACGGCGTCCGGCGCATCGCGGAGAGGCGCCGCTCCTCGTCCGCGGCGGCCTTGAGGCACGCGCGGCACGTCCGCTTCTTGACGTGCGCGCGAACCGCGCCGCAGCTGTCGCAGCGCAGCGCGCGGTCGAGCTCGCCGGGGAGCGCGCGCGCGCAGCAGGCCGCGCCCGCGTCGTAGAGCGCGGCGAGGGTGTCGGCGTCGACGCGGACGCGGTCCGGGAAGAGCCGCGCGAAGCGCCGCGCGTCCGAGACGCGCGCGAGCGCGACCTCGAGCGCCCGCGAGCCGTCGCCGGCGGTCCGCGGGTCCTCGCCGGCGCCCGGGACCCCCGCGAGGGTGCGGAGCGCGTCGGCCGACGGCGCGTCGACCTCGCCCCGGAGGATGCGCGCCGCGACCGCGCCGACGTCGCCGTCGGCGACGTCGAGCGTCGCGAGCGCCCAGACCTCCTCCAACCCCGGCGCGTCCTTGAGCGGGAGCTCCAGCGACGCCGCGTCCACGGCCTCGAGCCGCCGGAGGAGGCGCGCGCCGTCGGCCCGGCGGAGCCAGGGCGCCGGCGGCGGCGCGGCGACCCAGGCCGCGAGCGCGTCGGGGAGGAGGTGCGCGCAGGCCGCGCCGAACTCCCGCAGCTCGTCGAGCGACGGCTCGAGGATCGCGTCGATGTCGGCGTCCTGGGCGCGGCCCGCGGCGTCGACCGCGTCCGCGACGAGCGCCTCGGAGCACCGGAACTCGCCGAGCCCGAGGTCCAGCGTCCAGACGTTCCCCGCGGCGAGCGCGGCGAGCGCCGCGGCCTCCTCCGCGCTCAGGTCCCCGAGGTGCGTGCCGTCCCAGCGCTCCGTCTCCGCGAAGACGAGATGGTCGACCGCGAGGCCGCCCGCGGCCGCCAACGCGTCGCCGCCCGCGACCAGGACGTCCGCGTCGCCCCGGCGGAACCTGTCGAGCTCCGCGTCGGCGGCCGCCCAGGGCAGCGACGGGTGGACGACGGCGACGCGCCGCAGGCCGCGGAATTGCGCCGCGAGGCCCAGGCAGGCCTGCCGCGAGAACGCGACGACGGCCACGGCGCCGTCCGGTAAAACTTCGCACGCGGCTTCGCCGTGGCGCCGCCGGAGCAGGCCGCCGAAGGCCGCGGAAACGCCCCGGTCGACGCGGTCGACGGCCACGTCCGGGAAGCACGCGCGGAGCGCGGCCTCGACCTCCGGCCGCCCGACGCATAAGACCTCGTCGTAGCCCCGGTCGACGAGGAGCCGCGTCGCCGGCGGCCCGCGGACGGCGTCGCCGACGAGGTGCGCGTCGTCGAGGACGAGGAAGTTCCCGCGAGCGGCGCCTCGCCGTAGGTGCAGCACAGCAGCGGCGCCGCGACGTTCTCGCGGTCCCGCGGCGCCGCGAGCCCGACGTCGAGGCCCCGCGACCGCAACGCCCGGAGGCCGCGCCGCGCGCCGGCGACGGACGACGCCGCGAAGACGCCGGACCCGCGTGTCGCGAGGCGCTCGAGGGCCGTGCGCGTCTTCGCGGTCCCCGGCAGGCCCAGCAGCGCCGTCGCGCGCACGGCCTTCTTCTCCCGCCGCCGGTCGTCGTCCGCCGTCTGCGTGCGCTTCGACACGCGGGGGCAGGACGCCTGGCAGGCCGCCGCGCGGCAGCACGGCGGCGGCGGCGCCTCGCCGAGGTACTCGGCGGCAATACCTCTCGCCTCGTCGAGCGTCGCGCAGGCCAGCACGCGCCGCGCGAGGTCGCCGTCGGCCGCCTTCCGCGCGGCGCCCGGCGGCGTCGCGCCCCGCGCCGACGCTGCGGGGCTCGAGTTGGGGCTGCCCGTGGGCGTGACCTCGAAGGACTCGCCCCGGCGCCGCCGCCCGGGCGACGCGTCGCGCTCCGGCGACGGCCGCCGCTCCGGCGGCGACGCGCGCGGCTCCGGCGGCGACGAGAGGCCCCGCCGCGGCCGCGACACGGACGACGGCCACCAGATGCGCGACGCGCGCGGCCAGTCGCTCTCGTCGGCTTCCAAGGCTTCGAGGATCTGGCGGTGGGAGGTCGGCGTCGCCGGCGGCTGGTCCGGGGTCGACGACCGCCGCGGCGTCGCGGGAGACGCGACCGCGGATTGGAACACGCGGGCGGACCGCGGCAGCGGCGTCGGCGGGTCCACGGATTGGAACACGCGGGCCGCCGCGGACCTCGGCAATGGATCCCTTGGGCTGCCCCCCATTTTATGACACAGACGACCAAAATCGTCGATGATGGGGCAGCGGTGTTTGACGTTCGAGATGACGTGCCCTCATCGCGCCGTCTTACGCGTCGAGAAGCGCACGACGAGCGCGCGCCCCGCGACAATAGCCATGTCGGCGCCACCCGGCGGCTCGGCGGCCACCTCGAGGGAGTCGAGGTAGGCCAGCCGCACGTCGCCGTCGCCCGCGCGGACGACCGCCTCCGCGGGATCCAGCCCCACGAAAAAGACGGTGTCCGCGTCGACGATGGCGGCGCCCGCGCCCGCGACGGCCACGTCTGCACACGCGCGGCGGCGGTCCCACATGACGTTGAGGTCGCTGCCCGCGGCGCGCACGCGCGAGTCCGTCGGAGCGTCCGCCGCAAAGGGACCGAACGGCTCGCCGACGCGCAGCGGCGCGAGCGGCGCGCCCTCGCCGACGGCGAGCGCGAGCTCGCCGTCCAGCAGCGTCAGCACGCGGTCGACGCCCGGAATCTCGGAGAACGGGCCGCCGGGCGGCGCGAGCGCGGCGATCGACAGGCGCCACTGGAACGGGGCCTCAGTAATTGATGCGCCGCGGTCGGCGGCGATCTCGCGCGTGACGCCGCGCCCGTTCGCCCAGGGCTGCTCGACGTAGGCGTCGCGCCGGCGAATTGTATGAAGGCGACGGCGCAGGGGCCTCGAGGCAGCCCCACAAGCGCGCATACTTGCTCTGTGCTCGACGTTGAGGGAAACATGCAGCGCTCCAGAGCTGCCCTCTCAGGAGCGAGGCGGCGCTCGACCGCTTCGGCATCCGCGCCGACGACGCCGTGCTCGTCGGCGACGCGCGCAAAATGGCCTCGCAGGTCGACGCCTCGCTCGATGCGGAGCAGCGAGCGGCGGACGCCGAGGCCGCCGAGCACGCGCGCCTGCGCTACGAGGAGCTGATCCGCGAGCTCGACGACATGCCCTGCGGCTTCCGGCTCGACACTACCGACACGGCGGCGGCCAAGGACGCCATCTGGGCCGCCATGGCCGCGCGCACGACGGAGCTCGCCTGCGGCGGCCGCGTCGAGTACCGGCCCGGGAGCGGCGAGTGGCCCGTCGTCCTCGTCGCCGCGCACGCGGGCGCCGGCGCGGCGCCGCCGGACGCGGCCGGCGGCTTCCGCGGCGGCGACCTGTACGACGTCGCGGAGTCGGCCTTCGGCGGCTTCTCGGGCTACGCGCGCGGCCGCGCGGCGCTCGTCGTCGTGCGGTTGCCGCCCGGCGCGTCGCCCGTCGACGGGCCGCGCGACGCCGCGGCCGCGGCGGACCTCGAGCTCTACGACGCGTTCCACGATCGAGTCGCCGCGGCGTGCGCCGAGTGCGTGCGCAAGCACGAGCTCTGCCTCCTGCTCGAGCTCCGCTGCCAGGACCGGCGGCCCGACGTCGAGCTCAACTACCTCGTGCCCGACGACGTCCTCCGAACGATGACGGACGAACAGCTCGACGCCGACGGCTTCGCCGACGAGACGTCCGTGGCCGCGCTGACGAGGTGCGACGTCAAGCCGGCGCTGTCGCGGCTCCTCCGGAGCTGCCACAACCTCGCGTACCTGCTCGAGTGCAAGAAGGTCATCGCCGGCGCCGTGGGCAAGCCCGAGGGCGGCGTCGGCTGCGGCGAGCCGGCGCGGCCCGGCGACGGCCCGCGGCCCTCGGGCGCCGCGGGCCACGCGCTCCGGCGCTACGGCGCGCCGGCGTCGCTGGGCATCGCCGCCAACGACTGGAACCGCGACGTGTCCGCGATCCAGGTCGAGGCGCCCGCGTCGTTCGAAACCGACGGCTACCGGCGGATCCAGTTCGGCCGCGAGCTCGCGGACGTCGTCCGCACCTACCTCTGGGTCTTCGGCGCCTGGATCTACAAGGAGCCCTTCGTCCAGCCGGACTTCGTCGGCTTCATGCACCCGGACGACCGCGACGGCGGCAAGCGGCCCTTCTTCAACAGCGAGGACTTCCCGGGCCGCGACACGTCCCGCTACGTCGGCGGCTGCGTCGAGCCGACGGGGGACTACTAAGCCGCCGCGTCGGAGAAGCAGGGCGGGTCGTTCGGCGCGAGTTCGATGTCGGACCTCGCGGCGAGCCACGCCCTCGCGTCGGCGCACTCGTTCGCCCGGGCCCGGGCGACGAGGGCGGCGTCGTGGCGCTCGCGGTGGCGGAGGATCGCCGCGGCGGCCTCGGGCTGGGGCCGCCAGTCGCGGCCCGAGTGGCGCTGCCGCGAGTTCCGGTGCGCGACGTCGAAGCGGCCGACGCCGAAGCGCGCCGCGGCGTAGGCCCGGTAGGTCGCGGACGCGAGCCACTCGAGCACGAGGACGACGTCGAAGCGGTCGACGACCGCCAGCGCGACCGCGAGGTCCGCGTCCGACGCCGTCGCGCCCCGATTCTCGTTGTACGCGCAGCCGCCGCGCCAGCCGCCCCAGGTCTGGCCGCAGACGTCGTTGTTCCAGATCCGCTGGTAGCGCGCGGCGGACGGCCGCGGGTCGCCGCGCGGCCGCGGCCTCGCGGCGGGCGGCGCGACGCAGCGGCCCGAGAAGCTCCGCGTGAAGAGGTTGTCCACGTACTCGCCGGGCGGGCAGCCCTCCTGGACGACGGGCTTGGGCGTGATCCAGTCCAGGTAGACCTACCAAGCGCGTCGGTGACGATTTTGCATCGTTTCCCCGGTCGAAATCTCTCGAAACTCGTCGCGGCCGCAGGACGCTGAGGTAGACGGCCTCGTCGTCGACGCGCGGGCCGCGGTACCAGAACTCGCTGTGGACGCGCGCGAGCGGGTCGCGGACGACGGTGACGTACAAGGCGCGCGGCGCGGCCTCGAAGCACGCCGCGGGGAACCTGCGCGGGCGCGACTGCGGCGTCGCGTCGTCCCCCGTCGACGCCGCGCGGCACGCGCTGAACTCCATGTGCATGCCGTAGAACTCGCGCGACCGGTTCCGCGTCGTCATGATCTCGTCGCCGACGTCCTCCAGGGCCTTGAGCATTGATGTGCCACCGGCCTTTCGCACATGACGAAACAGGAGCGAGCCGTTGCCCGCTCGGAACGCGGCGAAGGCCTCGGCGTTGTCGCGGCGCTCGTGCTCGCCGAGAGCGACGCAGAGCAGCAGGAGCAGCGAGCGCATAGAGGCAGCTAGGGGCAGCCCTCCATCATTGCCGCAACAAGTTTGAGGGAAGTTGCAGGGCAAGCAACGAAAAACATTTGGGCAGCTTCGGAACGAGTAAGAATCGGCGTCAAACAACGTTGCGAGTCCGCCGGCTGCGACGCGATCCCCGCCCACGACCGCATCACCGTTGCCCCAGCAACCCTCATCGAAGCCATGTCGTCGCCCGAGAAGAAGAAGGCCATCGACTCGACCGTGGCAGGCAAGGTCCTCGACGACGATGTCGCTCCTCTGTCGCCGCGGCGCCCGCGCCCGCTGGACACCTGCCGCCGGCTCGTCGACACCAGCGACCCGCGCAGCCCACTGACCCCGCTGTCTGGCGACGGGATCATGCGCAGCGTGCGCAAGGCCAACCATCGCGCGCACCTCCGCACGCACGACGCGCCGAGCTCGGCGGTCTGAAGCGCCCGCGGCGAACCCCCACCCCTTCAGCCGCTCCCCCTCCGCATCCCTAGGTGCCACCCCGCTCGAAACAGACCGCTCTTTGAGACGTCTGGAGCCGCGACGTAAGAACCGGCCGAACGGACGCGGTCCGTCGGCGTCGTCCAGAGCTCGCGCGACCGAAGTCGGGCTCGCGATGGGGACAGTCTCGATTTCTATCTGGCCCCTGCGACGGCGGTCGTGCAATGGCGGGAGGAGCCGTCCGCACCGCGTCGCCAAGGCCTTCGCCAGCGACGGCGTCGACGCGCGCCCTCGCGGCACTAGTGCGCGGCGCCTCGCTTGCGCCACTTCTTGCGCCGCTCAGCCGGCTTGACCGTCGTGACAGCGAGTGCCCGCGACCTCGCGCGCCGCCACACCCGCGCCGCCGCCCGCGCCCGCCGCCCCCCCCCGCACCCGCCGCCGCGGCGCGCCGCGCGACCCACCCCCGTTTCGCTCCGCCGGTCCGACCCGGCGGCGCCCGCCCGCACCGTCGACCATGCGCATCATGATCAAAGGCGGCGTGTGGAAGAACACGGAGGACGAGATCCTCAAGGCCGCGGTCATGAAGTACGGCAAGAACCAGTGGGCGCGCGTCGCGTCGCTGCTGAACCGCAAGAGCGCCAAGCAGTGCAAGGCGCGGTGGTACGAGTGGCTCGACCCGTCGATCAAGAAGACCGAGTGGACGCGCGACGAGGAGGAGAAGCTGCTCCACCTCGCCAAGCTCTACCCCTGCCAGTGGCGCACGGTGGCGCCCCTCGTCGGGCGCACGGCGGCGCAGTGCATGGAGCGCTACGAGCGGCTCCTCGACGACGCGGAGCGCGAGATCGCCGGCGAGGGCGGCGCCGAGGGCGGCGGCTCGTCCGAGGAGGTGCGGCGGCTCCGGCCCGGCGAGATCGACCCGAACCCCGAGGTGCGCCCGGCGCGGCCCGACCCCGTCGACATGGACGAGGACGAGAAGGAGATGCTCAGCGAGGCGCGCGCGCGCTTGGCGAACACGCGCGGCAAGAAGGCGAAGCGGAAGGCGCGCGAGGCCCAGCTCGACGAGGCGCGGCGCCTCGCGTCGCTCCAGAAGAAGCGCGAGCTCAAGGCCGCGGGCATCTACACGAGCCGCTTCGGCGGCCGCTCGAACAAGAAGTACATGGACTACGACGCGGAGGTGCCGTTCCAGAAACTCGCGCCCGCGGGCTTCTACGACGTCTCCGGCGAGAAGCGCGCCGACGGCGACCGGAAGCGGAGCCGCGGCGACGCCGACTTCGAGGCCATCCGCCTGGACCGCTTCGAGGAGCAGCGCCGCGACGCCGCGGAGAAGATCGCCGCGCGCGACGACAAAAAAAAGGTCCAGAAATTGATGAAGGCCAATTTACCGCTGGCCGTCGCCCAGCTCTCGGCGCTCAACGACCCGAGCTCCGTGCTCCGGCGCAGCGAGCTGGCCCTGCCCGCGCCCCAGGTCACGGACGAGGAGTTGGAGGACATCGCGCGGCTGGGGGCTGACTCGGACGGCGGCGGCTCGGGCCCCGCGGCGCTCCTCGCGTCGGGCGCGTCCGGCGCCGACGTCGTCGCGAACCTGCTGGCGAACGCGCGCGCGCGCACGCCCGCGCGGCCGCGGACCGAGGACGCCGTGGCCCAGGAGGCGCGGAACGCGATCGCGGACCGCGCGCTGCAGACGCCCTTGCTCGGCGAGGACCAGGCGGACCGCGAGGCGGGCACGGGCTACGCCGGCGCGACGCCGCTGACGGGCGGCCGCGTCGAGACGCCGAGCGCGCTGTCCCTGCGGGGGCCCACGCCCGCCAAGGCCGGGACGCCGCTCGGCCTCACGCAGCAGAAGGCGCCGACGCCGCTCCGCGACGTCCGCGACGACGAGTCGGCCTTCGAGTCGGCCTACGGCGACGCCGAGGATCTGCGCGCGGACCGGAAGCGCGCGCGCGTCGAGCTCAAGGCGGGCCTCGAGGGGCTGCCGGCGCCGAAATTCGCGTACGACGTCGACGCGCCGGCCGACGACGACGCGCCCGAGCCCGCGGCCCGGCCGGCCCGGACGCCCGACGCCGCGGACCGCGACGCCGCGGAGGCCGCCGCCGCGCGCGAGGCCGCGCGCGCGGAGCTCGCGCTCCGGTCGTCGGCCGTGCGCCGCGACCTGCCGCGGCCCCGGAAGGCGCCGGTGGCGCCGCGCGACGCGGCGTCGCCCGCGGCGGCGCTCGTCGAGGCGGAGCTCGTGGCGCTCCTGCGGCGCGACGCCCACGACTTCCCCGTCAAGGGCGGGCCGAAGAAGGTGGCGCGCGCGGACGTCGAGGCCTTCGACGAACGGCGGCTCGTCGCGGCGGCCGCGCTCATCCAAGCCGAGGCCGACGCGACGATGCCCGCGGCGGGGCCCGACTTCGGCGCCGCCTGGGAGGCGAAGTTCGCCGACGTCGTCTACTTCCCCGACGCGGGCGCGTGGGGCTCGGCCGCGGACTGCGAAGACGAGTCGCGGCTCGTGGCGGCGCACAAAGCCGCGTTCGAGGCGACGCGCGCGACGATGGCCAAGGGCGCGGCGCGCGCGGCGCGCATCGAGGAGCGCGTCGACGCGGCGCTCAAGCCCATCGTCGACGAGTGCGAGAAGCTCCGGGAGGAGATCGACGAGGCCGCGGCGGATCTGGACCAGGCGGCCATCGAGGCCGCGTGCTACAAGCGCCTCCACCGCCTCGAGAAGGTCAACCTGCCCGCGCGCCTCGCCGCGGCCAAGGCGCGCTGCGCCGCCAACGACGCCGCGGAGAAGGTCCTCCAGCAGGAGTACGCCCGCCTCAAGCGCGCGGTCGACGACATGGACGCGGCCGCGGCCTAGCGCTCCCCTAACACCCTCGCTCGCGTTTAGATGAACTTGCCCCGCCGCTGGTCCTGCTGGCGCTCCCAGTCCTTCTTCAGCGCCCAGTTCGTCGGCTTGCCGTGCTTGAGCTTCTCCGCGAGGTCCGGGTTGTGCTTGAGCACGACCTCGAGGCTGCAGTCGGGCTTCGTGTTGATCCAGTCGACGCACTCCTTCTCCACGGGCGACTCGAAGCCCTCGTCGCGCCAGCCGTTGTCGACGTACCTGCGCGCGCGCGCGTCGGGACGGCGCGCGCCCGGGCGCCGCGGGGGCGCTTCTGGATGTTGTGCGAGAAGCACGTCGAGTACTGCGTGAACGTGATGCCCATCGGCGTCGGGCCGGAGTTCGGCTGGCTGATCACGCGGAAGAGCATGCCCTCCACGGCGCCGCGCTTCTGCTTGATGAACTATGGACGCGAATGTCAAAGAGCATTTTTGAAACACGCGACGCACCTCGTACTCCTCCGTGTCGACGCCGCCGGGCTTGTCGAAGCCCTCGGACGCGTAGTGCGACATGTTTCGGCTGGAGTCAGCGGCGGTCACAGCCGGCAGCCCCGCGCGGGCTCTCTATAGGCCACCGCTTCAAACAAAAAGGCACCCTTTTAGTTGCACTAGAATTGCACTAGCTGCCCTGAGCTGTCCTCCGAAGTCCGCGCCGTCGTTCTCTTCTTCCACCTCGTCACATCCATCGTCTCCGTCGCATCGCAATGGGTGAACAGCTGCAGGTGCGTCTTTGCGCCATCGCGATTGTTGCAACGCGCTGGCAGCCCTGTGATCGTAGGTCACCGTCACGTCGTGTGCCTTTGGCGGCAACTTGATGGGTTGCGGCAGTAGTTACTGCAACGCCATCAAGAGGGAACTGCCGCACGCCGAGGTCAAGCACAAGTACGGCCCGCCGCTGTCGTTCTCGGTCGCGGTCAACGGGAAGCGCGCCGTGTCGCCGGGCGTCGCGCGCCGGCGCCCGCGCGATGCGCGCGCGCGCCACCGACGCGTCGCAGGTTTTCCAGCTCCTCGTTGGCAACCCGACGAAGGTCGCCAAGGACGTCGCGACGGCCGCGAAGCCCGCGAGACCGCCCGCGTCCGCGCCGCCGCGCCGCGGCCCAGACGTCCCGCCGCAGGTCTAGGGGCTCGTCGCGCGTAAGCGTAAGCGTAGCCGATGCGACTTAGGCGCCCTTCCCCCCAGTTCCCCCTAGCGCTGGGGCCCGACGGCGACGACCTGGGACTTGGGGCGCAGGGAGACGATCCGCGAGTTGAAGACGTGGCCCTTGGCCGTGTCGTTGCGGCCCTTGCCGTCGTCGACCGCGCCGGACTTGAGGCTGTTGAGGAGCTTGGACGGGTCGATGGGCGCGGCGAAGGCCGCGTCGTCGGGCGACTCGTCCGTCGCGTCGTCGAAGGGCGCGGACAGCGACGCGTCGAGCTGCGGCTGGTGGAGCAGGTCGGGGAGCGTCATCGCGGGCATGCGCTTGCCGTCGCGGTTGAACTTGGGCGTCTTCGGCCGCGTCGGGTCCTCGTTGCCCCGCGACGCCGTCAGGTGGGCGTCGAGCTGGAGCACCTCGACGAGCTGGTCCTCGATGAGGCCCAGGAACTGCTCGACGTTCCGCTCCGTGAGCCCCGTCGCGACCAAAGCCTCGCCGCTGGGGATCTCGCCGCAGCCAAGCTTGTGGAAGATCGTCGTCACGGCCTCCGACGCCGAGATGAGGGACTGCTCGTTGGCCCGGTGCTGGTCCTCGTGCGTCTTCTCCGTCGCCTCGGACGTTGCGAGCTGCGCGCCGAGCTCCTTCTTCATGTTCTCCTCCTGGTGGAGCCGGTCCTCGTTGGCGAGGGCGCGCTGCTCCATGTCGTCCTCGAGGCTCACCTTCTCCAGCTCCAGCGTCTCGAGCTCCTGGTTGAGCTCGTTGATCGTCCGGAACACCAAATAGTTCTCCTCCTCGCTCTTCAACAGGAGCGGCACGAGGCCCTCGAGCGGGTGCTTGCCCTTGAGCGCCGGGTCCGCGGACGGGTCGACGTGGGTCTTCGTCTCGGAGCAGATCTTGTCGAAGGCGCTGTGGAGCTCCTCCTTGCGCTCGATCTGCTTCGTCAAATCCATGCGCGTCTTCGCGACGACCCAGTAGGCCTTGTTCACCTCCTGCTGGAGGTCGACCTCGGGCTGCTTCGACCGCTCCTGCGTGAGGAAGGCGCGGTCCTTGCCGCCGCCGGATCCGCCGCCCTTGGCGCCGCCCTTGGACGACGGCGCGGCGCCCGCGGACGCCGCGGAGCTCAGGCCGCATTGGCCCGTCGCGGCGACGATGGAGTTGTGCGTCGACGACACGCGGTCGTTGAACTGCTCCATCTCGTCGATGATCTCGCCCTTGAGCGCCTCGCACTGGCGGCCGGCCTGCTCGCGCTCCTCCTCCGTCTCCTGCAACGCGCGGTTCAGGTTCGCCAATTGCTGCCGCCGCCGCGCGAGCGACTTCTCCGCCTTGGCCGTGACGCGCTCGTGCTGGATCTTCTCGCGCCGCTTGTTGTTGATCTCCACGGCCAACGTCTTGATCTTGTGCTGGAGCCGGTCGTGCTTCTCCTTGACCGTCTGCAGCGCGGACTCGAGGCGCACGCTCTCGCGCTGCGTCCGGATCGACACCTCGCGGCGCTTCCACTCGCCGCCGACCTGCTTCTTGAACTCGAGGATCGTCTTGCGCATGCGGTCGAGCTTCTTCTCGACCTGGTGGAGCCGCAGCCGCTCGTTCTCGATCTTCTTCGTGTAGTAGATCTGGGCCTTGTGGAGCGCGTCGAGCTGCACGGCCGTCTCGTGGCTCCCGCTCGTCATCATGCTCCCGGACGCCTTGACCGACATGGCGGCCGCCGGGTCCGCCGCCGCGCGGGGACGAGGGGGCGCCGCCGGGGCCGCCGCGCGGGGAACGGGGGGCAGCACCGCCGAGCCCAGACGATGGTCTCGAGCGGTTTTAGTGTTTAGGATACAAAGTCATGTTGCAGGCATACCGTCCTAGGTTGAAGTTCCGTGTGGTTTCAATTTTATCACGGCGACGTTTAGACGTTGGCGTGGAAGTAGGTGTAGCGCTGGTTGCGGCCGTGCTCGTACTTCTCCCAGACCCAGTGCGGGTAGGACGCGCCGAGGCTGTTGAGGCGCGTGAGGGCCGTCGCGAGGGCCGACATGAGGTCGTTGCGCTGGTGCCTGCGCGGGGGGGGCGCGTCGGCGTTTCGCGGCCGCGCGCGGGCGCGGGCGGACGCGCTCGTAGTCGGCGATGCAGCGCTCCTGGTGCTTGATCTGCTCGAGGTGGGCCGCGTTGCGCCGGACGTCGCCGGTGCCGAGGGGCCGCGCGCGGAGCGGCCCCGCGGGCGCGTCCGCGATCGGGCACCCGGACGACCGGCCGTTGGGCCCGAAGCGCGCGTGCGTCGCGAGCTTGCCCGTGCTCCGCGCGCAGGCGACGCACGCGTGCCAGAGCCACTCGCTCGAGCCGTCGGCGTTGCGGTGGACGACGAGGCCCGTCTGGCCCTGGGCCTCGCCTGCGGTCGGGAAGGGTCACTCGACGACGTCTCCAAGAAAAAAACAGACGCCGGCGCGCCGCACAGCTCCCGAACTGGAACGCGGAGCAGACGCGCTTGCCGTCGACGCCGACGACGCCGCCGGGCGCGCGCGCGCTCCGCTGGAAGAGGACCGCGCCGTCGCCCCGCCGCGCGTCGGCGTCGAAGCCGCCGTCGGCCCAGCCCGGGTCGCCGCCGCCCCAGGCGAGCCGCGCGGCCTCGCGCGTGCGCTCCGCGCGCTCCGCGACCTCCTCGGCGCGCCGCAGCCGCGCGCCGTCGACGGGGGGCGCGGGCGGCGCCGCGGGCGGCGGCGGCGCCGGCGGCGCCGGGAGCGCGGGGGCGCCCGCGGCCAGGGCCCGCAGGCCGCGCCGGAGCCGCGCGGCGGTCGCGCGGCCCGCGGCCAGCCGTACGGCGACGCCCCGCGCGAGGCGGCCCTCGCCGAGGAGCGCCGCGGCGTCCGCGGCGCGCCGGAGCGCGACCCAGGCGCCGCGCGCGGCGCCGCGCTCGAGGCGCCGCGCGCGCGCCGCGCGCGCGAAGGTGGCCGCGAGCGCCGCGGCCGCCACGGCCCGGCACCGGGCGTCGGTCCGGTCCGGCGCCGCGGCGGCCGCGGGCTCCGCGGCCCGCTCCTCGGCCAAGCGGTCGCGCTCGCCCGCCGCGTGGCGCCGCTCGGCGGCCGCCGCGAGGCGGTCGGCGGCCGCGGCCGCGCGGTCGCTCGCGGCGAGGGCCCGGTCGCCCTCGGCGCTCCGCCACGCGTCCGCGAGGCGGCCCCGCTCCTCCGTCGCGCCGCGGAACGCCGCCTCCGCGAGCTTCGCGTCGAAGCGCGCGGCCGCGGCCCCCTCCCGGTCCGCGAGGGCGCGCTCGTCCTTGGGCGACCGGGCGACGGGCGGCCGGTCGGGCGTCGGCGGCGCCGCGGCTTCCCACGCGTAGCCGAGGTGCCCGTGGGCCCGCGTCCGCTTCTCCTCGTCGGCCTCCTTGAGGGACGCGCGGTACTTGGCCTCGGCTTCCTCGGCCGCTTGCTCCGCGGCGGCGATGCGGTCGCGCCACTCGCGCTCGGCCGCGTCCAGATCCGCGGCCCGCGCGCGATCCGCCACCAGCCGCTCCGTCGCGGCCTGGGCGCGGTCCTGGGCCGCGTGGTGCCGGTCCACGGCCGCGGCCTCGCGGTCCGCGCGCGCCGCCGCGGCCTCCGCCGACGACACCTCGACGCGCGCGCCCGCGACGGTCTCCGCGTCCGCGCGGGCCTTGCACGCCGCGGCCTCGAAGTCGAGCGCGCGCTGGCGGTACGTCGCCAGCACGGCGCCGACGGCGCCGTCGCGGTCGTCGCGGGCCGCGGTAGCGGCGCCCAGGTCCGCGTCGCGGGCCGCGCCGAGCGTCTCGAGGGCCGCGCGCGCCGCGTCTCGGTCCTGCGCCGCCGCGGACCTGCGCGGCGAAAGGGTGCGACCTCAGCGGCTCCTCGTTCGGCCATTTCCCACTCGTTTCGGCTGACCTTTGGACGAGCGATCATCTCTTGGAGCGCTATCGAAGCGTGGGTGTTTTCCTTGGAACGCGCGCGCGCGGAACGAGCACCTGTAAGCGGTGTTGAAGCACCCTTTTCCTGCGCGGCCGCGGACGCGGCCATCTTCGACGACGCGAGCCGCGTCTCCGCGTCGAGCGCGTCGGCCTGGGCCGCGTCGCGCGCGCGCTCCGCGGCGGCCCGCGCCTCGACGGCCGCGAGCTTGTCGGCGAGGGCGCCGTCGGCCGTCGCCCGGAGGCCCGCGGCCGCGGCCTCGGCGGCCGCGACGGCCGTCGACCGCGCGTCGTCGCGCAGGTTCGCCTCGCGGCACCGCGCCGCGGCGTCGGTCGTCGCGGCCGCGGCGG